TGTCAAAAAATATGTCTTGTCATATATGCTTCATTTAAGGTGTTACCTGTTCTGTGAATTTATACTGGTAGGGGATAATGAAGGTAATTCCTTCCTTTGCCATTTTTATTAGGAAATGTGAGATTGTGTCGAGCTGACACAATAGCATGAGCTATTTATAGCACGACAGACACCAACCAGCAACGACCTTACAGCCACAGATGGAAGCTGCAGCCTCAACAATGGAGGTGTGGAATATTACATTGAGCCCAGTTGGACCAAAAGTCTTCTTCCATGGTCTCACAAAACTCCTTCCACTCCTACATTTTTGATTTAGAACTTTTGTTAGAACTGGACACTGCTTGGTTTGCCAGAAACATTCTGCTGCCTCAGAAGTCTAACAGACTCAATTCAGTATACACCATCTGGTTTGGAGATTACCACCACTACAGGCAGAAACTACCTTGCAGCCACAATTTTGTGCAGCTACTTGAACATTGCATGTGTAGAATATGGTCCACTCTGAGTCAATTTCCTCAGCTTTCCTTGGGAAACTGTTGAAGTTCTGCTGCAGGTGGGAGTCAAAGATGTCACAGGCTGGTGCTTCTGCCAGGTGTTCCCAGCGCAACCTCACTATGTTTAGGTCCACCAGGTCTTTCCAGCATCCTCTCTGTCACTTTATCCTAATCACTACCAGGTTCTCGGTTAAAACTGTCTTAGCGTAGCCCCTCTATCTTACAGGTGTCAGGGTGCTCGGCCTTTTGTTACACACGAAACAAAATAAAGACGAGAAGTAACAAGGGCAAAACTAAACTAAGACCTAAACTGGAGAAAACTACAATTGACTATGACAACTATGAAGATGATGTGGAGCAGGAACATGAGTGAAGCTATGAAGTATAAACATGAACCAGAAACATGAACATGCCCTGAACCGAAAGACGACTTGACGAGGAATTTTACTTTTATTTGTTTAATTGTTTACTAAATGATTGAGGTGTAAAGAAAACAAAGGGGGGCCTTGCAAAAAAAAGTTTAACCACTGACATAGAATAACCTAAACTAAACTCAAGGCAACCTGATAATACTACAAGAACTTAAAATCCTTTCAATATACCTAAGAAATCACAAATATAACAATAAACTCAAAATGTGGGGTCACAGACCAAGTTGCTGGCATAGTGTTTCTGTGCTCAGTCTCCCTTTTGTGTTTCCATGTTGTTCTTCTTGTGTTTCATCTCATCTCCCCATTTGTCTCCCTGTTTATCCCTGCTCCTGTGTCTTGCCCGTGAGTCCTGCGGTGTCATGTTCATTTGTATTAGCTGTGTTCCGTGTGTATTTCCACTTCCCTTTTTACCCTTGTG